AAGGCAGTATTGCCAGGTGCAATCGATGGATTTCTGCCACATCGATCCAAGCAGAGAATGACGTACCTTACAAGGACAGGACACACTCAGGAAATCATTCACTCTGACTTCATCATGACTTTAGTTTGTTTTGAAGTCATAAGAATTGTTATTAGCATAACGTTAGTTGGTTTTACCCAAACAAGGAATAGTTCCTTGTTATATGTAGATTTGAGAAAGATTACAAGGATTTTATTTAGTTCACCATGAAGATGTTTTTTTGTTTTGTAACATATGCCAAGTAGTAAGATTCAAGTATCAGCAGGTAAAAGGATGACACAAACAGTTAGATAAAAACAGACCGATAGAATGGCGCTAGGCTTGTTTAAATAAAGAGTAATATTTAGCTATTTTTAGATAGTTTAATCCTTCTTATACTTTGTAAAAGAACAAGTGCCTTTACACCAGATACAGTATGAAGATGATTTATGATGTGAAAGGAGGGCGTTAGACGTTTTCCATACCAAGATAATTGCTGCTATTTTGCGAAGTGACATTAAAGGTTTAAGATAGAAGTTATGCACAAATGAAAAACTTCATATTTATGATGAATATGTATTCTTATTTGTATTTTTTACTTTTATGAGTTATGTACCATGCAATGTTCGGATGAAGAACTCATTGATTTCAATATTATTTACATACCTTAAATGGTATGTAAGGAGGGATTGTTAGAAATTAAAATCAATGTTGATATGGCGTAATTTGAATTAAATACACTATTTGATTTAAATCAGTTTTATTCTGAAAAACCGGAAGTTCTCAATATTAGCTTAACACTTTTATTCTGAAGGTTTGTCACTTCCGGTTAGCATTTAGCATCTGGCGGAATCATACGATTTCAAACCTTGAACCAAGGTGAAATGACATGTGATGTTGTACACTGAGCACACTGGGATTAGCACTCATTTATTGACGCTGAATAATGTGTAGCAGGGAATGTTTAAATAACCACAGACACCAGAATGATGTAATTTAGCTACAGAAAAAGGCAGGAATTGCATTGGACCCGCCCCCCGACGACGCCGGCCAATAGGAGAAGACCTCAGATGACAACAGGAAGAGCAAGCCAAGAATTGATCTCTTCTACCCCCTGACCTGAACTGACCGGTCGTTGGATGTGGAGAGCGCCTCCACTCGCACATTTCATTTTGTACACCACCGCATCTTTTGTGTAATTAAATGCTGTTCAACTTTTATAAGCTTCCCTTGACTCTTTTCAGTCTCTCCTGCCTTCAGGGTTCTAGAATTGCTTTCACTTTTCAGTGGATATCTTTCAAACTCATCCTCTTGTCTTCTTGAATGAGGATTTCATTCCTAACCATTAACGAGGCGCTTTTGTGCTTTTGGGGGTTTTCCCTCTCATGTAGTATGTTATATAGGTTATATAGAATGTTCTTCTGCTCTTAAATTGTTTTTGTTTTGCAGTGAAACAATCAAAGACCACTGACAGTAAACAATGCTGTGTCTCAAGTTCTGTACTTCAGTAGTTACACTTGCTACTTTGAGTGCATAAGTGCAATTGACACTGAGGAGACCCTTCGATCGCTATTGGCTACGTAGCGGTAGCCGCGATCATGATACACAGCACTAAACAAACAAAAGTAATAACTGTGTGTGTTTTGTTCCACTATTTCATTAAAGTACCACTAAACTGTATTCAAAATAAGTCACTGTTGATATCATTTGGCTAATTGAGCAGTCTGTAAGGATTTACTACCGCGACTGATAACAAAGAAGCTATCTAGCTAACGAGCTAACGTAAGCAGTCGTCACTTCCTGTGAGGGCACTGCAGCCTTTTGAGCATTGAGACAACGGAAGTATGAACGTTGAGACACAGTGTGGTTTTTGTTGGTTCATGCACATAGGCTACATCTTGAGATTACATCTGTCTCAAGTTAAAGCACGAAAAATTTGAAAACATTTAACGTATGAATACTGTTTTTCACATTCATCCATTCTCACCCCTAATGTGAAAATACAATATGTGTTGTTTGATATCGTGTTTAACAACTCTGCTGTTTCCCAGTTTCTCTCTCACTCAGTGACATCCAATGGTGTCATTTAGACAGAAAAACGGTTCCAGCTAAACTCTTCTGCTGCCTTTTGATGCCAGGCATCCAGAACTGGCACTCGGAGTGATTTGCCCTCACCAGGGTCTCCTCACACACACTGCATCCCCTGTTTGTCTGTTTTATTTGCTTTCATTGTTGTGTGTGTCTGTTTTTTCCCCTCTCTTCTTCTTCTCATCTCTGCAGTTTGATTGTTTTTCGGTTTAATCGCAGCTTATTCCCGTGCCTTGTTTCCTTCCTCGTGTTGTCATTTCATCCTCCTCCTCCTCCTCGTCTCTGAGGGCTTGTTTTCTGTTCGTGCCATGGCTCTTTTCATGTGTCCCTCGCCGGCAGAAATTGACGCTTAAATACACAGGAGGGAAGAACAAAACAAACAGACAAACAGCAGCCGGAGAACAGATGCTGAGCGGCTGCAAATATCTCTCGCTAACTGTGTGACATTGGGGGAGAGGAAAGTGATGGTGCAACATGGAGAAACATCCTTCACTACAAAGACTCTGAATGGCGATCCGAGCTGCATAGAAACTGTACATGAGCTCTACATGAAAGACAGATAAAGACTGCCTTTAAATCCTGCAGGATAATTCCAGTTTATTACAGCTTAGCTCATATTGTGTAGCGTTAGCGAATCTTACAACAGACAGTTTGGGGGATCATTCCACTGCTTTGTCTTACGAATAAGTTGTGGCTACCTTGGGGGTTTGTTTACAACGTGTCTTATCGTCAGCTCGTTTTTCTTTACTTTTCAACTTGGTCAGTACTTTTTTATATTAATTGTAAGTAATGGACAAAAAGGCTACAGTGTGCTTCAAACTAACTGGTTGACATGAAAACAAGGAGAATATGGCACCACAAATGACTCCTGATAATGTTCTCAAACTAACATTTATAGTTGATTACAAGCTCCTCCCCATATTGGACTCTGGTATCCATCAATCACTATGTTGTTGGATTTTGGTTTTGGACAGTTACAAGAAAAATATGTTTCTGGCCAACCCAGTCAAAAAGGGGGAAATCGTGTTGGTGTAAACAAATCAAAAGAATACATTTTGTTTCTATAACAACAAAAAGGTGCCCTGAGACTTGGTTGGTCTGGCACTGTTAGATGATCCAACATTGTTTTTGTGCCATGAAGCTTTAAAAAACTAAGAATAATTATGATAATGTTATGGTTCATCCTGTGGAGACCGTGAATAGCCTCAGCATGTTGTAGTAAAGACCCTAATAGTTAACAAGATGTCTTCTAAGGTCTCTTATGTTAAAGTCAGACGTCCATTTGTGCACCTTGACCTTCTATGCAACCGTTTCTTTCATCAGTGTTACAACATTGCACAATCACAAGGTTAGAAAAAACAAAACATAATTGTGTTTAAGGGAATGCAACGACCCCTGTGTGCGTACCTTTAATGATCCTCCATGTTTGTCTTAGAAGGTAGCATTGATTGCGAGCACCTGGGGTGTTTCTCAATGTCGAGGAAGGATGCTCCAGAGCCACTATTTCAAGGATACTACGTCATCGAGTGCCGCCGAAGGACTGTTCCAATGTTCAGGAGACTTGGAATTTAACCGAGGCCGGCGAACTTCGTTGCGGGAAATCTCGAGGCTGCACATGTGTAAACTCCGCGGTCTTAAAATCCCCACAATGCTTTGCGCACGGACCAATTTCCAAATCTTTGGCGGAAATCGCGCTGCATTTAAGGCGGGGCCTCTCATATGACACCTGTTAGCCTGTTCCACCATTCTTCTTTTTCCGAGGCTAGGAAGGATTCTTGCCTCGCTTCTGAAGCAACT